AATTTGATCTCCCTGAAATGCTAGAGTATACTGTTCCAAATGTTCTGCTGGTGAGGGTTGTGGGTTTTTAAAATGATAGTAGCAAGGACTATTAAAAAAAATCAGTGATCTGTGCAATGATGCTCTGACCTTAGAATAGCAGCTATGTTCTTTTTTTTCTCTTCTGCTTAGAACCATGTGTTTTCTTATTTATTTATTTATTTATTTATTTATTCTTTATTGATTAGAGTATTACAGATGTACCCCCCCCCCATTTTTTCCCCTCATTGTCCTCCACCACTTGGATCCTGCCATCCCCAGGCCTTCACCACTCTATTGTCCGTGTTCATGGGTAATGCATATATGCATATAAGTTCTTTAGCTAATCTCTTCTCACCTCCCTCCCTCATTTCCGTTGAGATTTCTCAGTCTGTTCCATGTTTCCATGCCACTGATTCCATTTTATTTATCAGTTTAGTTTATTCATTGGATTCCTCGTTCATTTATTTTGATTTTTAGATTCAGTTGTTGATAGGTATGTATTTATTGCCATTTTATTGTTCATATTTCCTCCTCCTCCTCCTCCTCCTCCTCCAGAAGAAGATTCTTCAACATTTCATGTAATATTAGTTTGGTGGTAATGAACTCTTTTAGCTTTTTCTTGTCTATGAAACTCTTTATCTGACCCTCAATTCTAAATGACAGCTTTGCTGGGTAGAGTAATCTTGGTTGTAGGTCCTTGCTATTCATCGCTTTGGATATTTCTTGCAACTCCCTCTGGCCTGCAAAATTTCTGTTGAGAAATCAGCTGACAGTTGGATGGGTGCTCCCTTGTAGGTAACTAACCACTTTTCTCTTGCTGCTTTTAAGATTCTGTCTTTGTCTTTAACTTTTGGCATTTTAATGGTGTGGACCTCTTTGAGTTGATCTTGTTTGGTACTCTCCTGGACTTGTTTGTCTATTTCTTTCGCCAGGTATGGGAAATTTTTTTGTCATTACTTCTTGAAATAAGTTTTCAATTTTTTGCTCCTTCTCTTCTCCTTCTGGCACCCCCATGAAGTGAATGTTGGTACCTTTGAAGTTGTCCCAGAGGCTCCTTCTTCATATACTTGGGTTCTTTTTTTCTTTTTGCTATTCTGATTGGGTCTTTTTTGTTTCCTCACATTCTAAATTGCTGATTTGATTCTTGATGACTTCTACTCTACCATTGGTTCCAATGGTAGAGTAGAAGATGTAAATTACTCTTCATTTCAGTTAATGTATCCTTCATTTCTGACTGGTCCTTTTTCGTGTCTCACTAATTTCCTTGAAATTCTCACTAAGTTCCTTGAAGGTCTCATTTAGTTCTTTGAGCATCCTTATAACCATTGTTTTGAACTCTGTACCTAGTAGTTTGCTTGCTTCCATTACATTTAGTTCTTTTTCTGGAGATTTCTTCTGTTCTTTTATTGTGACATGTTTCTTTGTCTCTGCATTTTGGCTGCTTCCCTGTGTTTGTTTCAGAACCACGTGTTTTCAAAGTATAAGTTCTCTCCAAGTTTATGTCAGAAACACAGCTGTTAGGTCAAAGTTTTGCCGACTAGATCTGAGAATGTTACTTTTAAAATGTGCGCAAGAAACAGCAGCAATACTATAGGTTGAATGCTTGTGTAACCCCCCCCCCCCGCCCCAATTCATATGTTGCAATTTTAAGTCCCAATGTGATGGTACTTGGACATGGGGCCTTAGGTCATAAGGGTGGAACCCTCATTAAATGGAATTAGTGCCCTTATAGGAGAGACTCCAGATAGATCTCTTGTTTCTTATTCCATGTAGATGTAGAGAGAAGACATCCATCCATGAATCAGAAAGTGGCCCCTGATCAGATGCTGAATCTGCCAGCTCCTTGATCTAGGACTTTCCAGCTTCCAGAACTATGTGGAATTACTGTTTGTTATGTAAGCCACTCAGTCTATGGTATTTTTGTTAGAACAGGCCAAAGTGACTATAACAAAGTTTCACAACAGTGAAACTTCATTATATTGTTGTTCTATTTCTTGTCTATAATGTGTAGTTTCCTTCTCCCAGTGTCTTAGAAGAATTCTCAATAAAGCTTTATGTAATTTAATTCTAGATTTTACTCAATGTGAGGAAAGTAAGGGAAATCAATGCTTTTGTTTTAGTTTCTGATTCTAACAGATGAAAAGAGTCTTGAGCTCGAAACTTTTGACCTTTGTCTTTAACCCACTCTATTTTATAAACTAAGATGTAACTGATAAATCTATCAGTGACTGCCCAGTTAAAAGGACAATATTAGCTTTCACTTAGCTACAGGAAATTAACCAGAAATTGTCATTAGCCAAGAAAGAGCAAAGAGAAGGGAGTCACCCTCTCTTTAAAAAAGTTGAGTTAAATTTGCCCCACACTATAGTGAAGAACTATGGGAAACTTACTCTTTAAATGTGACATGCCTTTTCTATATAGGGAAGTTTTATAACTAGGGCTAGAGTACTATAAAAGGAAATTGATCTTGGAGATATGTTTTATGATTATCACCACCATTAACTTCAGTCTTTGTCTCTCAGAAAATGAGAGTGTCTGTAGTTCTTATAAAAAAACCAAACAATGAAGAAATGTTTTTCTTAATTTCCAAGTTTGAAATTTTGTGATTGTTGGATAGTATGCTATATTCCAAAGAATTTCCATGGTCTTTATGAAATACATAAAGATAAAATAAGCATTATTGATAAAACCAGACCAAGAGAAGCTAAAATAAAGTATATTAATAAAGCTAGGACTAAGTGAAGTTAAAATAAACGTTACTAATAAAGCTTTAAGAAACTCCTATCTTCCTTTGTAGTTAATACTTTGCATCTGTTAAACCAGAGACAGTCTATTGTAAAAGCTAAAAGCTTAAAAACAGCAACTGGATGAGCATACTTTTGTCTTAATATAATTTAACCAATGTCCATAATATCTTTTAAAGCAAAGTGAAGTATATTTGTTAAAAATAAAAATTTAATTTTGCAGATACAAATACATACTTGTCTTATCAATAACCCTGTAGTCTATGTACTATTCAAGGAAACCAGAAGCTGTTTGCACATGTTAAGTTCCCCTGGGCTGTTGCCTGGGCTGTTGAGGAATAAAGAAAGGACAGGGTTAGTCAAGCATGTATAGCAGGAATGTATGAAGCATATCTATGAAAAGACAAGAATTCTCTTTCTATATATGAAAGTTGAATTCATAAACCTGTATAGATGCTGTCCTTCAATCATTTTGGTAGACTTTACATTTATTTCAATAAGAGCTATAAGAAATTAACTTAGAACATTAAATAGATTATTAGTAGACAGTAGGGAGGGAATATCTACTAAAAATTGTCGATGTTGGAAAAGATGAAAAAGTTCTGGAGATGAATGGTGGTGATGGCTACACAACAATATGAATGTACTTGATGTTGCAGTACAAGACAGTTAAAATGGTAAATTGTATGTTATGTATATTTTATCACAATAAAAGTACTATGAGTTTAGCCTGGCTAGTGTGGCTCAGTGGCTGAGTGTCGACCTAGTAACTTGAAGGTAACGAATGGGTTTGATTCCCAGTCAGGGCACATATCCAGGTTACAGGCTTGATCACCAGTGTGGGGTGTGCAGGAGCCTATCAATGATTCTCTCTCATCATTATTTCTCTTGCTCTCTCCCTTCCCCTTCCTAAAAGAAAAATTATATGAGTTTAATGAAGATAACATGAGAAATATAGAAAGTTACAAAAAGAATAAAAATTCTTATGTAAGCTTACCAAAAGTGTCATTGAAATAACCTCTAATTATAATGAATAGCTATGGAAAGTCACCCCCTCTGATGTGTGATGCCAGTGATGTAAATGCTCAAACACATTAGCAATTCTTCATTTGGATGAGTTATGAATCATGCAGTAAAATCAGTCTAATAACTCTTGGTGATCTTTTAATTTCTTAAAATTTGAGAATATGTGTTTGTGTCATTATGTGCTTAAATTTGTATTATGTGAATTTTCTATTTTTGATGCTTCATCCCTCTCCATTAGCTCAAATAATTAAGAGTGGCTACTCAAATTGAATTGAAATGAAATTCCACCCAATTTGGAACTTCAAAAGGCTTTGCAAGAACATTATAATTCCCATTACACAAGTGAGAAGAAGAAATTAATACTTGTTCAGGAGGGTAAGTATGCTTAGAGTTAGGAACCAACTTAGCATTTCTAAAGTTAAGAAGGGTTCTGGCCTATGTGCTCTCTATTAATACTCTCATTGTTATATAAATTAACTTAGTGCTTACAGGGCTTATAAGATAAAGCCAGCATTTATGGGACAAAGGTATGTAATGGAGAAATCATACTCTATCATCTGTAATGGGAAGATTAAGAATAATAGACACAAAAATTTGTGTTAGCTGCATTGGGGCTGGTATCATTTGGAAAGTTGAATCAAAGCTGAAGGTTGCTAACTCAGGAGGAAGAAGATGCCTCAGAGTAACAGATTGTAAACTTGGGTGAAATTGGAACTAGGAGGACTATATATATATATCAGATGGCAGAGGAGCCAATTCCACTGAAGTAGTTTGGGAGATTAGACAAATAGAACAGTGGTTTTCAATGGAGTGGGGGAATGGAAATTCTTCCCCCTTCCCAGGGATCATATGGCAATATCTAGAGACAAGCTGGGGGAAGGGTACTACTGGTATCTGGTGAGCACAGATCAGGGATGCTGCTAACCATCTTATTAATGTACAGGGGAGGGAGGGCAGTTGAGGGGTCCCAGATTGCACTGGGCCTCTAGGCTATAATAATAAAAGTGTAATATGCTAATTAGACCAGACGGCTGAACAGTGGAACGACCTCTGGATGAAGCCAGGGCTCGCAGCTGACTGTGAGGGCTGAGGCAGCCGCTGCGGCTGTGAGGGCCAAGCCCCTTGCATGAATTTCTTGCATCGGGCCTCTAGTAAATACATAAAACAGTAACACAGTCATTTATTATCATTATAATGAATCATGTACTGTGTGTAACTGTATGTGCTATACTCTTATACAAGTGGTAGTGCAGTAGGCTTGTTTGCACCAGCATCAGCACAGACACGTGAGTAATGCATTGCTTTACGCTGCAACTCATGTTGGCTGTGACGTCACTAGGTGATAGGACTTTTTCAGCTTCATTAAAATGTTATAGGACCACCGTGGTATATGGTATATAAGGTCCATCATTAACCAAAACATTGTTAGGTGGTATATGATTGTGTAAGAATGAGAAAGACAGTATGAGAGAAGAAATGAAAAGCCATCAAACTAGAAGTATCTTGGAGAAAGTGCCCAAAACAAGCTGGTAAAGGCAGCTTGTTTTCCCACCTGGATGAACTGGCCTGAAGGATGCCTCTCACAGCCTTTTCAGAGGGGTATCCTTTATCTGCCTTTTCCAGTTTGGAAACCTTCCGGAGAAAACATTCCTTTCTAGTAGAAAGAGAATGAGAGTGAAAGCATTCTTTGTCTGCAGATTCCTGGGACGGCTTTGAAGAGACTGAGTAAATGACTGGTGGTGAGAATCTGTTCCATTTTCATTTGTCTCTGGCAGGGCCTGGTGGCAATTTAATATTCTTTATTATTATTTTACATGCAACTTCCTTCCTAGCTTATGATTCCTGTCAGAACTGTGTATTAGTAGCCATTAGTCATTTTTCTTGGGTTGGCCTATAATGCTTCAAAGGAGGGCTGGTGTATTTCAGTAATTTTGCTTGCAATTTGATTTGCGTTCTCTAGAATCCCAATTTAGTTTCATCAGCACATTTCAACATACAACAGCTGGGCCCCTGGATGGGCTCATTTACATACATTAGCAACTGAAAGCCAAGCTCCAGCGACCCAGAAGATAGACTGATATTTTCTGGGAGATTCACCTGACATTTTTTTTTTTTCTTTTTAGAAATAAACCCCGCCTCCCTATTTGTAACTGTGTCAGTGACAATATCCTGTGATGATTAAAACAGAACAAAACAAAAAAACCCAAAACTGTTGGTCTCCAGACAACTTTTAACCTAAAATGCTTTGATAAAAAGCCTTGCAGGATAATCAGAGGATATGTTCTGTCCGACTCCAGAGTCACGTAAGAATATTGTCCCAACCCATTGATACCATGACAATAACCTTGTGTGTGATAGCAGGAAAGGAGCAAAGGGGAGACTAGATAATATAGGCATGCCGTTTATACAGCTTTGCCAGGACGCTGCAGTTAACATTCTCCAAGTCTGTTTCCTGCAGATGGCTGGGGGAAAAGACTGGACTCAGGCAGTTTAGACATATGCCCAGGAAGGTCTGGGTGATGTGGGAGGATGCTGATCTGTCAGTCACACCTGGGAACAGTCAATGGCTAGAATAGGCCTGGCGACTGCAAGGGTGTGAAATCTGAGATACTTAGGTCCTGAACAAAGGAAGTTCTCTCTCTTGCTCTTGGTGCTCTGGCCCTCTTGCACTTCTGGCTTGTGGGGCTCACATGCCCTGCATTCTCCCAGATGGCCCACAGCCATGTGGACGCCACACAATGGACTAATGGACTTTAACTGGCCTGAAGCTACTTCGGACTCAGCTCCACCCTGGAAAGGAAACTCTGGACACTGGCCTTGCTTTCAGTTCTGCTAAAAGCCCCAGCTGCACATTTTCTAGGACTGGCTTAAAGACACTGGTACTTTGCAAACTAAGGGATATAATTCCATGTAAATAAAAACCACTCATTCTCCCATGTCAGTCTTAGAAAATTCCTTTTCTCATGTTATCACAAGGACTCCGTTCCCACTAGTGACGGAGTAATTATGTTAGGGGCAGAAATAGAATAGCAGGGGCTAGTTATAATTATAAAAAATATTAATCATGCTCTGTTAACCGTGATTGTTCGGTTTGGATTGGAGAAAGCACATTCTAACCTGGCTGAGAGTTGCACGCCCTGGGACAGGAATGCAATCCATTCTTCTTTTTCTGAGGACGGCCTGTCATCATGGAAAGATGAACAACCTTGTTGCTGAACCAATCTGGTCTCGGAGGGCTGGCCATTTACACCCCCCCAGCCTGCATTGCCTATAACCTGTAACCATTATATCTTGCCTACTTCCCCATGCTTGTAATTCCTACTTTTCCATGCAATCTTTGTCTCTTCTCCCCTCTACCCAATATAAGCAGCTGGCTTATGGGAAGGGGACAGCAGGATTTTGTGCACGATCTACTGCTCTCCTGTACCGCCAGCTTCATTTAAATAAATGCTCATATATGATTCAACTCTGTCTCTGCTTAATTGGCTCAAGTTGTGACAGGGAGCCCAGACTCATAGGTTATCCAGTTTCAATTCCACCCATCCAATCCTCTGGCAACACTATCATAAATATTTTTATTATTAGATAAATGGTAGAGGAACCAGCTTCTTAACTGGCCAGTGGTTGGCGAAAGGCAGATAATCCATTAATCCATAAACATCATTGTGACTGAGACCCTGAGCATGACACTGGACAGTCATGGCATGAGAAGGACATTGTGTAAGCTTTGTGGAAAACTTGGAATTCTTTTCACCATTTCCTTTGCTTATATTTAAATTCTTGGACTGTGGTCTTGGTTTGTGTGGTAGGCTGAAAAATGCTTCCCTCTGCCCCACCTCCCTCAGAAATATCTCCATCTGAATTCCTGGACCCTGTAAGTATGATAAAAGTGTCTTTGCAGATGTTGATTGAGTTAAGGATTTTGAGATGAGATTATTTGGGTTATCCTGGGGGGCCCTAAATGCCAGGATAAGAGAGAGGCAGAGGGAGATTTGAGCACAGACTGAAGAGGAGTAGGCCTGTGACCACAGAGGCAGAGACTGGCCACAGGGCAAGGAATGCTGCAACCACCAGAAACCGGAATTGGCAAGGAGAGGATTTTCCTAGGGCCTGTGGAGGAAATGTGGCCCTGCCAGCACTTTAATTTCAGCCCAGTGAAACTGATTATGGACATCTGGCTTCTGGGCTGAGTGAATTACTGTTGTTTCAAGCCACCACGTTTGTGATGATTTGTTACACAGTTATAGGAGACTAATATAGTCTATAAAAGAATCTATCCTGTGGTCCTTGGACAGGTTGTTTAGTTATTCTAGTATATCAGTGTCAGTGTTTTTAGTACCTCCCCCCCCCTGGAAATGAATTGTTAATTTACTTGATATTTTTCATTTGGTATCTCATTTATGATCCATTTATTTTACTGAATCCTGACTGTTTGGGCAAGTAGGGACCAGAAGAGGAGGTGAATAGCAGGATCATTTGATCTCCTGAAGGAGGTCCCCAGACATGGGACAAAACGTTTGTGAACAAGTAACCTGGAAGACTCAATATCCCAGGAAGGAGAGAGAATATTATCTGCTATATATTGAACATTTATAATTTCATCATTTCACTCCACTTTCCAGTTTCTATGAGAGAGATAGACCCACTGTATTTTATCAACATAAATTGTGTTGTACAGGATACCTTAGAATTGGATTACACTCTATGGAATGGCTATTGGTATGAGTTACAGATTACCTTGATTATGAACTGAAGTGGGGAAATACAATCGTGACATCTTATTCTCTTTGGCCAATAGCAGAATACTGTCAGCCTTCACCTACACGTCCTCTGTTGTTATTTGGGATTCACTGGGGCCAGTTCGTTAATTATGAGGCTCTGTATTATAGGTATCACTGAGGATAATGTGGGCCCTTGGGGAAGTCTATTTCCATAAAGTTGTGATGTCCAGTGAAATGTTTCAAGAAAAGCTAATGGATTTTTGGTTTTGGTCAAAGATCCTAGAAATATGGATGAAACAAACTGCTAGAGATTTTAAAAAAATGTTCTTTATAAAAGCACTTCATGAGTTTTTCTATTATGAAATTAGAAAACATAACTCCTTTTATAATCATTGACCCCCTCATATAACATTAACTGCTCTTAAAGAGGACAAGTTAGAACATAATCAAGTTGGAAAAACTGAATGGTTTTCTTTTGCAAAGAATTCTAATACGTACTATATGCGCCAATGCATTTGCTAAAGATATCATAAACATGTATTTTTGAAGACATATTTTATAGCAATTATTGAATTAATTCTCAGTTAAATGTAAATGATTCTGTTTTCTCTAGTACTTTCCTGATGGAAATGGGAGCTCTCTGCAAAGGTAGGTTTGAGCCATGGGTAGAGAAAATCTATACTTAAATCTTAATTTTCTTTGTAAGCACCTAGGAGTTTATAGTTTTCATGTGCTCTCTCTTTTTCTTCCATAATTTACTCCAGGGCACTGTGGTAGATACTGACTGAAGTAAATAAGAAAATGTCTTTATATCAAGTATTTTATTACCACCCTTTTGAATTCTGAAATACAGAGCAGTTGTGACCAAGGTGGGCCTGATATCAGAATAAGAGGGGAGAGCTGTTTACTTCAGAATGGATCCTCAAACCTCTAACAAAGCTCAAGAATAAGTTAAATTTCCCTATGTTGGGATATGGGTTATGCATATATAATTGTTATTTATAAAATAAACCTTTGATAATGAAAATACTGAAGAACAATTATGGGCTTTGTTCTGAAGGGTCAATGTGAGAATTGACGAGAGAGATGGCATATGAATTATGGATTTTCTTTTTCCAGTGAAATCTCCTTTATCACAATTCCCTGTGAAATGTTGTATTGTGCATATTGAAGAGAATGAGAATTAATTTAATTACCCACCCTCTGTTGTTCATTATTTATTTATTTATTTTTATCCAGAAGAAAACACTGAATTTTCTTGTACAACTAATTCAATGCAATTATCATATGACCAGTCGAAAAATGTGACAGAATAGCATGCTATGAATATTTGCTTTATGTGATCAGTGTTTCGAAGTAGGTGTAAATACAATTTTGTTAAATGAAACTATGATAAAAGCACATAGGACATTTTTGTTATTTAAGATGTTCTAATGTATTCAAGGAGCATGTTTTCTTTATCTAAGGCAATACATATTGACTTACCTGTCTTAATACTACATACTAAAAATATAAGAAGAAGGATGGTAAAATAATATCATCTAAAGTAGAAATCTACCAAGCTAAAGTGATTACACAGGTGGTTGGGTTCTGGAAAGGAAATTAAAATGAAGGGAAATAGAAAAGTAGTCTCTTTGAATTTGGGATAAAATGGCTTTTATGTTTGAAGAAGTAATGTGGGTGCTTGGTCTGTGTGTGGAGAGAAGGGGAGGGGCATTGGGTTGTGGGGAAGGTGAGAAATCACAGGGTTTTAAAACTCGGGCTTTAATCTCCCAGTGGTCCTTCCTGCCTTTGCTACACACTGTGAGTCCTGCTGCTCATTTCTGACTTCACACAGTTTTGAGTCCTTGACATGGGCACCTCCCAGCTCCCACACTTGGTCAGGAGTCTTGGCTATCTAAGAATTTGGTGCTGGAGCTGAGGTTCTCATCTGATTGTCAGCCAAAGGAGGTGTGACAGAGCGAAAAGCACAGGATTTCCACACAGAAGACCCTGTTTTGAATCCTGGCAACTAACACTTATTAAATCTGCGACCTTGGCAAGTGATTTATCTTTTTTTGTGCTTCAGTTTTTTCAGCCTACTCACTATAAGACAAAAATACTTCTGAGTTTTGTTTTAAGCACCATATAAAATAACATATACTATAAGTAGCAGGGACTCAAAGCTTGGTTTTTTTGTTTCTATGAACACCTTGTTTGGCCAGTCATTGAAGCACCTCCTCTTGGTGGTACGGAGTGTAGATCGCTTAGAGATATTTCACCAATATTTTATTCTTTTGAAATAATAACAAATGAGCAGAAGAATTAAGGACTTTCATGTGCATATGCCTGCATAGATACCCATATACACACATACATGTAATATTTTTTTGAGGAGACATCTTGTCTTTTCCTTCTCTTTTTAAACACAGCCCT